TCCTGTATGTATATATATATATATATATATGTATATTTTTCTCTATACGATAACTCATTTGTATATAAACAATATTAAGTGAAAATCGACTGAAAAATATTTAACACAAATAAGCGAAGAAGGGCCTCAGGTACATAAAGTAACAATAACATAACATCAATTTCACATTATTCATTAATACAGCTGTTACATACTATGTGTGTAATTTTACATTTATATATTAAGTATAAAATTATACAATATTGGTATTATATTACTATTAGTTTGGTGTTTTTTTACTGGACCATATTCAATCAAGATAGATCTTAATGGTTAATAATATTTTATATGAATTTTATAATTATCAGTTTCATTTATTAATAAATTCTCAATTATTGGTCTCATTAACTTAACATAATTTTAATGAATTATTAATAATGATATTTATTATGCGCTTGAATAGGTGTCTATTTAAGTACTGGCTTACCATCGTATATGATTGGTTCTTTTTCGCGGAAATATGTAAGAGCCGGAAAGTTTTTGATACCATATTGCTTCGCCAGTCGTTTATCGTTGATTTTGACAAAGTCGACTCCAAAGTGGTCTGTATCGTCGTCGATTTTCTCCAGTTCGGCCAGGACTTTGTCGCATGTGGTGCAACTTCGGGCATCTGTAGACAGATTACTACTAGATCTAGGAAAATCATATTAAATAATAAGAAACCGGAGTAAACATTGAAAATGCTTATATTTATTTTACATATAATGTAGGTATTTAAAATAAGCACAGAGAACATTTTGTTAAGATTGCATTAGAGCACGCATGTATTAATTAATATTTAATTATTATATAATTTTAAAAAACTATAAAGAAATACATTATTCATTAAAAGAATATAAATTGATAAACTAGTTTACAAGATTTTGTGCAAAAACTACTTCTAGAGTAATTTTCGACGTTGAATCTGAATCTTACCATAGAAATATTTCCATCAAATCTAATTTTTGAGATAAGAAAAAACATTTTTTCTAATACAGTGAAGTTTTATTGAAACAATCAGTAGTGTTGAGCGTTTAATTTTTGTTTTTTATACGATTTTGGATCGGTTTTATATATTAAGGTGACTCCAGACAACATGGCCAATGTACACCAATTTTCTGCACATTAGCTAAATATTGGCCTACATGCATAATTATGTGCGCGCGCGCGCGCGTGTGTCGTACATGTCATTTAGAGTCTTTAGAATCCATTAATAGTCGCCTCGAACGTTTTTCTTTCGTTCCAATGAAAATAACATTTCTCGATTATCATCAAATCTTGATGGAAACCTTACTAGTCACTTATCGTGTTCAAATTATTCAGGAAAAAAATACTGTATCTTAAAAATTAACATGCTGTACCTAAAAATGACACATTATATTTAAAAAATTAACATATTATTTAAAAAATTTGATCCGATAAATTTTTTTAGCGGAAGATTCGAACTTAGCACCTTATAATAATATGTTAAAAAAAAGTTGTTTCCTTTTTTTATTCTAAAAATTATTCAGTACTTATAAATGTAATATAATATAATTAAATGGTTGACAAAGCTGTAGTGTTTAAATGGACAACGATGTTTTATTCTCTAATTTTAAATACGCTTCCTCAGATGTAAGAAGAAATCGATCCTGCTTTTGCACATTTTTATGCTTATCGTTCCCGTTCCTTGGCAGATTGCGTACATTCTTGGCGGGCTGTGCTTCATTCGAGCGTACAGAGAGCAAACCTGCCTCTGCGGTAGGTGTTAGGTTACAATTATCGACTATATACATCAAGATATTGTCTCATCTCTTCGTTCTCTCAATTTTCAATGCTTGGAAAAATCATCGCGTTTCGTTGCGCGAAGACCTTGATTACGTCTTATGATAATATCAAGCGATAACAAAGCGCGGGCGACGATGTTACGCGCATCGTCGCATACACGCTTCGCGCCCCGCCATTTTTGGTGACGACTTCCTTAGAATAGAGCTAGAAGAAATAGGAGAGGTGGTTCCGATTCTCTTCCCCTCTATTTCTGTTGTCTTCTTACTCGCTCTTAGTTTTGCTATTTGTCTTTCTCTTTTTCGCTCTCTTTCTCTCTTTCAATTTGTTCACTGGTAGCTTTTCTTTCCGTTACGCTTCTTTATTTCCACGATTACACATTTGCATCTTTTCTCTGCCTCTTTATCTCTGCGCCTTTTTTTATCTACTTTTTTCTTTCTCTCTCTACGTCTTTATCCGTCCCTTTGCTCCGCCATCGTTGAGAGTAACGTAATAGCATTCAGTTAACGGACACCCCCGCGAAAAGGTTGGCAGAATGATTTGACTAAGATGCGTAAAGCAAGAAGGAGATGTATGAAATGTAGCGGAGGAATTTTCGAAAAGCTGTGCCAGATAAATTGGACCGTGTCCACTGGTTGCTGCCGTAATAGACGAAAGTTAAGAAAAACTTATCGATAATCTACTCAGTTAATACAAATTAGAAAAAAGATTAAACACGAAAGGAAAATGTGCCTTTAATCAACATAATATTATTATCTATCGATACGTCTATTAATTAATAATGACCGATATTTATAGTTGGATCTTATATTTAAGACCGTCTTACAATCTTAAGATGTTATGAACAGCCAGAGAGCCGTATTAGCAAAATAAGAACAGACTATGAATACTGCCTAATATATAATGTTAGAAATCATGAATGTCGATGTATTGAAACATGTCGAGATTGAGAGTATAATTATGATAAAAGAAACAGGATTCTTATTTTCTTTTTTTATTTAAAAAACTCGCGAAGAAGTTAAGCGAATAAATATATAAATACCGTCAGAAAAAGTCTATTTTTATTTTTTATTGTATTTTATTTTTCTGAGAAGGTTATTGAGAAAAAGGACCAAAATACAAATGATGTGAGGGATCGTTTGCATATATCAGCATATCTTACGGTGATACTATAATGATCGGAATTCACACATACTAAAAATGCTGAGTTATTCTTCAAAAGAAATGAACATTATGTATGGAATTGTTCGAATGTAGCATATAGATGAGAAATTGCTTATGCAGCTTTTTTGCGAAGTAACAAGTGGCACATCTCGCATTTTCTTCTCCATTAGAGGATACAGATGCGGTTTTAGAATTATTTTACTCATCGTCACATTGTCAGCTGTCACGAAGAGGCGAGAATAATTGATCAAAATGTTTGTCTTTAACGAAGAATGCATATTCGATTGATTGGCATTGTCTTTCGTTTCAATTAACTTTGATCCAAAATATATCTATATTTACTTATTAATGTTCAATTCAATACACTGCTTAAATGCTCGGAATTTCCATTTCTACATCTTTTTCGATTAGAAGTGATTTAGATACAATCACTTTTACAATTACTTTTTTCGAATCCATATTTATTTCTTCGTTATTGAAGAAAAAATATCAAAATGGAAATTCCATACATTTAAACAGTGGATTGAACATTGTAAATATAGATATATTTAGGATCCCAGGCCGATCAATCGAATCTAATCCGATGCCAACTGACGGACCTCAATTGAATATGCATTCTACGCTAAAGATAAACATAATCAAATGAATAGAATCAACATCATAAGAGAATTTATAGTGTATATGAGAGAATCTATAGTATATATACTTGAACGATTAAAATAATAAAATGACTGATTTTATATTAAAAAGTTACATTGATTATGATAAAAATTATTTTATTTAAAATATTTTCACAGAACATGTCGATGGCAATCAATAACTGGAATTGATTTATGAAGGTTCTGCTTTAATATCTTTTGTATATTTTGAATATCTCTGAAAGATTCTCCTTTCAGCGGCAATTTCATCTTCTGGCCCAAAAACAAGCAAACGTGTTTGCTCATCCACTGTGTACTCCCCGAATTTGGCACCCTGCGATTACTTCCTGTTAGTGAAATTAACTGTTCCAATCATTACTTGATTCATTAAAATAATTTTATTCTAAAATTAAAGCACATCAAACGGATGTTTTTACTATGAACCATCCAGATTTTCCAGAATAATTCTCATCTATTATGTATTATCCTAATATTGCATTTGCAAAATTTGAACAATTATAATTTTTTTTTTTAAATAAAATTAGTCTAATTCTTTAATTTGGATTATGTATGCCGCTATTACATGAGGAAGAGAGAGACAACGAGAACGAACGACGGCCAGTGCCTAGTTTACGAGCCACTAAAAATACAAGAACGAACGGCCTCGCTCATACTGTCGTCGTCGTCGACATCGTTTTCTCATCTTCGTCGCCGTTATCCGCGGATATCTTCGCCAAGGACGTTTGCGATGTTCTCATTTACAATTATGTAAAGTAACGACCAAGATACATGAAATTGAGTCGCTCCAGTCGGACTGGTCTTGCTTTAGAATACACATTTGGCTCGAGATCATCGTGATTTTCCATCGAGCGCGCATAGAGAAAATTTAATTAACGTGAGAAATTCTTTTTAAAAAAGAGTAATCTTCTTAAAAAACACGCATCCAGCAAAACTCTACCAGAATAACGAAGCTTATCCCGACGTGGACTTCGTAAAGTGGAGTAACAATATAAATAAACCGACAGACGTAAATGTGGAAACAGACTGTCGGTATGAAGCATAAACATAAGAATATATTACACTAATCATTACTACAAAGTTTGGTTTGCGCTTTATATGCTTCAGCCAATACACAGAATTAGATGTATACATACATTTTAAAAATGTTTCGAAAGTAACGCGACTGTCAGCGACAAAATATTAAAAGATTTATTATCAATTATTTACATCACGTAATTTGTGTATTAATTTCATTTTGTTATTATTATTTAAATAAATTAATAATAATAATTTTCCCCAAAGTTGACAATTCATTCATAAAATGTAATCTATTATTATTGAAGTTGTACTTTAATTATAATTTTTTCATTTTTTATACATTTTTCTCAATCAATGTCTACATCCATTACTGAATAAATTTTGCCGATATGACCTTCTCTCAGAAATAGAAGATAAAATGTTTGGGAGCGCACTTCGCAATCGAATAAGATTAATCGTCGCATGTACATAGAACGTTTCTGCTCTATTCGTGAATCGCTTATTCAAATTTATGCAACAGTCATCTATGTAGTAGCTCAAATTATTGTTGACGTTTACCTCGAATATCACAATTGCGAATATCACATTGAATGCAATTTTGTAACTTTATTTTATTAAAAAAAAAAAAGAAATTACGATGTGAATGTTCTATAGAAATTTCGCGCTTTTAAGATAATTAAAAAAATTTATTTTATACTATAGATACATATATTGTGATAACGAAAAATTGTATGGCTTTCTTGAACACATCGAAATAGATTAATGTTTTTGAACGTCTTCATTCATATTTTCCATTCATACAATTTAGTGAATATTGCTAGAACTTTTTTATTAAGTGAGTATAATTTTCAGATGCCTCACATTTTTGGCAAACAAATTTGGCAACTCGAAGTTTATAGAAATTAGTGCATAAATTAAGAAAAGAGATTCTTTAATTACTTTATAAATCTATTTTATCAAATAAATCATATCATATGAAATCATATCATATGGAAGTTGCAATTGCAAAGTATATTAATTTATTTTT